CGCTGTCATTAGCGTTGTAGTCTATACCGAAGAGAAATCGTAGCTAAGGTTACAATTAACCCTTTGAACTCCAAAAATTATTTTTGTGTACACGAACAATTTTAAGGCAACTGTGGTACCGTTTTTGAAAGTCAAGTGTTCTTTTACTTACTAAACAAGTATTAAAGAGTGGAGGCATTAAATGATAGAGGTGTTGAAGAATGGAGAAATTAAGGGATATAGGTGTTAAAGAATTGCGGAATTAAAGAATAAAGGTGTTGCAGAATGGAGATATTAAAGAGTGGAGGTCTTAAAAAATGGAGAAATCAAAAGATAGAGGTGTTGCAGAATGGAGATATTAAAGAGTATAGATGTTAAAAAATAGAGATACTAAAGATACGAAACATTAAAGAGTGGAGGCGTTGAAGACTGGAAGCATTAAAGGGTGCAGGCATTAAAGAATGGAGACATTAAAGGATACAGGTCTCAAAGGACGGAGATGTGGCAGAATGGAGATATTAAAGAGTGAACGTGTTAAAGAATAGAGGAATTAAAGAATAGAGATGTTTTGCAGAATGGAGATATTAAAGAATAGAGGTGTTACGAAATAGAGATACTAAAGATATAAAACATTAAAGAGTGGTGGCGTTAAAGAATGCCTGGATTAAAGAGTGGAGGTTTTGAAGAATAACTATTAAAAGATGGAAGTGTTGAAGAATAAAGGTATGAAAGACTCGTAAGCAGAACAATTTCATCCTGATTGTGTACCTTAAACCTCAGAAGAAAGAAAAATGGAGTCCTACCACTTTCGCAACGAATCCATTACGTCACCAGTAGAGTGCAAAGGACAGAGTGCGTTTACCTTACGAACAAACGCCATATTTAGCAACGTAAAAAGTCGCGGGGGCGCCCGAATCTCTGTCTCTTAAATTCCGCCCGTAAAGACCGTAATGACTTGATCCGCCAGCGGCGATATTCGTGTTCGACCCGTCGTCATCCTCGAATTCGACTGGACGGTCGATCGAAATACTCGAGATCCCCTTTCGAGTGTTCATGTATATGCATGACTAGGTGGATGCCCCCACAAAAATTTACGGACCTGACAGGCTGACGTCTCGAGAGGACCGTGGCTGCGAAGGCCTAACGATAGCTGGCTAACATAATCGGACCTGACAGTTCTCGAGAAACCACGTTACGCTTCGAAACGGGCCCCCAAAGACCGGTCAGTGTTTTTGGAACGTCAGGAAGGTGTCCCGAGAGCTTTTTTTCCCCTCACGGGCGGAATCGGCCGTGTTATCGGGAACGACGCACGGTTGAATGGATCAACAGACAAGAGGATTCCACGAACGGGTGCGTCAGAATTCTGGGAACTTTGAACTGGGTTTTAGGAACGGCAGTAATGCTCTTGTTTGGTAACGAAAATAGAAGCGTGACGTTTTAATGGGAAGAGTACGTAATTCTTCTGACCTCTGTTGGAGTATGCTTGGTACTGTCTATTGGTAATGATCTCTGTGTAGTTGGCTGAGGGAGGTTTACGAAATTTGCATGTAGTGTATTGTTAAGAGGTAACACGACTCTAGAATCTAAAAGAAGGGCCTAATAATTTGATAATTAATTTTGAGAGTATCGCAAAAGGAATAGGATTTCTTTTTACAGGGTTTGTTTAACATATATTGAAGTATAAAGAAAAATTATTGTATTATAATTTGAGTTCACAATGGCGGCGGCGAAGCGACTCTTTAACAAACCCTGTGAAAAGAAATCTTATTCCTTTTGCCATACTCTCAAAATTAATTATGAAAGTTAGGCCTTTTTTTCAGCCTCTAGAGTGGTGTTAAGAGAATATTTAATAGCTTTGTAGAGGCAATCAGTATTATTTGGCTCGAATATTAAATAATTCCTAAATATATATTGTTACAAGGAAATCTGGATAATTTTGGAGTAATATTATGTATTAACATAATTATCTAAAATTATGTTTTTTTATGATTCTAAAAATCAATTTTTGCTACTTCTTGCACCCCATCTTTATAATTGTGTAAAATCGATGAAACGAGAAATTATTCATTTGAAAGATCGAATTTATTTAGAAAAATGAATCATGAAGATAACACCATTGTAAATAATTATTTTTACAAACACAACGTTTTACAAAAAGAATAAAAATCGACAAATATATCCTATAATAAATGAAGACCGAATAAGTAACAAAAAATAAATACTCTACTTGTCTTGAAATAAAAATACAAGTATTAAATTATTTTCTGTTCGTAACCGTTAAAAATTCGCATAAATGTCTATTATTCAAAATGTCTACTACTCAAAAAGGATGTAATTGAAGGTGAAGAAACCCTTTAGACAATCCATCTTCTGTAGAGATGAGAATGTAAGAAGAAGAATAGTCTGTTGTTTCGGTCGCAAAAACGAAACAATGACCGAACAGAGAAGAATTCAGTAACGTTGCTGTCTGTCAAGCGTGAGTGACCAATGTGACAGGCTAATAACTTCAATCAGGAAGAGCAACCGTGGAGAAGTCGAAGAAACTTATTCGTAGCTTGGCGAACTTCGCAAGAAAGGATACCGCCTGCTAACGAGACGGTACCGCTTAATTGTCTCAAATTAATCAATTCGCTTCTGCCCCTATCAGATCTATAATTACAGCCTCGCGTTTAGGCTCCAATTATAAAACAATCCATCGTATTTCTGACAATGATTGAGCATAATGCTTAAGCGAACCGTTAATGCGAAATGAAAATTTTTAAAATTCTAATTTGAATTCACTTCTTAGGATTCCGAAACATTAATTGAAACACGATTTCATCAAAGTGGTATGAATTATTCGTACGTACTTTAATTACAAATTATTACCTTTTCTCTGCGTACTGAATTACTCAATACTTTGATATTATGACTGTTATATTAACTGTTCAACCATAACGTTGATCAAAACTTTTTACATCCTAATTTAAATTCAGTTTTTCAGATTTTATGCATTAAATTATCTTCGAAGTGGTGTGATTTATTGGTGTATACTCTAACTGAAAATTATTACATCTTTTCTATGATCAGATTTCATCGATCCTTGATATTGATAGATAGATAGATATTTATTTCAGCTTTCAAGTCAAGAAATGGGCTTAGTTACACAAACTTCTACCCATTTTCACCCTCTCTCATTCCATCACACTCGTGCCTTAGGCAATATATTGTCTAAAATATTTATCGAATTGCATTGCCCAATATATGTGTCTAATTATGTTGGCTAATATATTTGTCTAATTGTATTGTCCAATGTATTTGTCTAATTACATTGTCTAGTAGATTCATAACTTCTGTTCTGTTTTATACTGCACGAGAAATCTAAACTTTTATAGCGATTTCAATTCACATGATATCGATACCACCAGATATAACAAAAAAATTCGAATCAAGTTAATTTTTGTATACATATTAACCCCATTCACTGCCAACTACAAGACGTCTCGTAGTTCAAATTGATCGCAATTACTCTAAGGGGAATAAGTTCTTAGCCTATCGAGTCACGAATTATTGCAAAAGAAGATCGTAAATTCGTTTATTATTCGACAAATCGTGGACAAACGAATGCAATTTGATTTTGATCAAAATTTTGCATTCGGAGGTGGCGATTTCACTAAGCTAAGGTACGACTCTGTTCCTTTTCAACAAATCCCCATTGGAAACAAAAACCCTAAAAAAAAAAAAAATGAAACGTTGAAGGCGATTACGAATAACTTGACGTTCCCCGTTGGAATTTCGCCTAGGGGGATAAAAGCGAGAGAGTTCGCTCTCCCGTGAAAAAGGGGGAGAAAGTGTGGACACGACGAACAGAGAGGGGTGTGCAGGGTCGATTCTAGCTTCGAGGGGTCATTATAGAACTTTCCTAACGGGCGCACCGTCTCCACGCTGATGCCAGACTGTCTGGATTGACTGATGTCAGGTCATTCAATGCTTCCTAGGCCTGTTTCGTTGCCTCATCGCAACGTGGATGTCGGAGAGGAGGCTGCGCAGCTCGAAAGATATTGCGCGACGTATCTCGATACGCCTCATTACGCGAACGACTTTCAAAAGCAATTAAAACTGGCACGGTTGAAACCTATTCCCGCGACTGGCCACTCGTTAATTTTCGAGCCCGGTGACGCAAGCAGAGTCGAGCGAACGCGTGGCACTCTTCTTTGTTCGATCTCGGAGAAATTGCCGATACACGTCCCGGCTGCGACGTTCGCGGGGGCTCGCGATCGAAAGAAAACACGTTTGAAAAGCCACGGACGAGAGAAAGCACGGGGAGAGATATCGAAACAGGGAGCAATTAAAAGCGTAACCTTGTCTGCGATGTGGTCGGTTTATAATTGAAACCGCTTTTCAGGATAGTCGATGTTTCGCTCGGACGTAAATGAAATGTAACGACGTGACAGGTCTTGTACAGATGAAGTGATTTACGCGCGATTCGAGTGGCGCGTTTCAGATCGCGAGTTTTTATTGCGCGTCCAAGGAATTAAAATTCACTAAGGTTTTTATTGTAAGAAGATAAGAGAAGAATTGTTTTATGAAACGAGAGTGACAGAACGATGGAAAATTGAAGCAGAGAAACGAATCTTGAGACTTAGATTCTCAGAGGACTGTCATTCATATTTGATAACCTTCACTTTAGATATTAGAAACAATGATCATATACTGAAAGCATTAGTTTTAATATAATAAATAAGTTTTACATAAATTTGACACATCTTCAACCGTCAGCTTCTATTCCTTTGCATCCATCTTTCATCTTCCTACTTCCACTTTTCAAAAAAAAACGATCGTCTTTCCTTCTTCTTGCCCCCTTAATTCAACTCAATCTCATAAATTTCCATTAGCTGAAGAGCAAATCCAATGGAAGGTCGAAACATTCGAACAAAGACTTTACTTCGGTTTCGAATTCCAACCTTCTAAAGTTTCCCCAGCGCTTCTGGCGGTTCTTATGAAACCTCAGATGAGAAGAAAAAAACTGCTGGTTGACTCACCTGTGCGTACTCCGCGCAGCTATCTATCGATGACACGTAGTTGACGACATCCTCGATGGTCCATCGATTCACAGCTTGGCCGTCGCCGCAGGGCATGTGACCGCAGAGAGACGGACACCTAACCGGGGGTGGTGTTGTGGGCCTCGGAGTTGCCTTCGGTTTGGGCGATACGCTTCCAGGTCTCCTGGTCTCCGCTCGCTGCCTCTTGCGAGGAGCGAATCCTCCTGGAGTCGACAGGTCCAGGGGACTCGTCACACCGGCGTCTCTTTTGTTTGCACCTGGTCGTGAAAGACGACTTAACCGTTTAATAAATGTGCGTGCAATTAGGAATAATATAGTTTGTAATTCTAGTATTCTGTATTTAAAGTTCAGGATATATTTTTGAAAACTGATTTTTAAGATCTCCAAATTTTCTTTGTTAATTTTATATACATATGTACATTAATTTATGTGTATTACATATACCTGAATTTCTACAGTCTTTACGATAAAATTGAATAATATACAGGTTGGAGGATTTAAGTGGGAATACCTGAATACCTTCGTTATTTAGAATTCTATGAAAACAACTTGTAAGACCAAATTACATTGTTTAAAGGGATACAGGCCTTTTGAAGTCGGTATTTAAAAAGAAATTGAAATAAATGTAATTATCTATTACTCATAAGAGTTGAAGTCATACTTCAATATACTCAGTTATCTAAAGGTATTAAGCTTGTTTGAATTTTTTTTTTATCAGCTACAAGTTTCCAATAACGAAAATATCCACTCCCGTTTAAAAGAATTTCAATAACATTGAAATCAGTTTACTGAATGACCTTGAAAAACAAATGGTCCCACCATTACACACACCCTTTGAAATAATGTAACTTTGTTCTATAGATTCTTTTCGTAGAATTATAAATAACAGAGATATTCGAGTGGTCCCATTTAAAATGCTCCATCTTGTATAATTCCTTTAAAATTCTTTCCCTGACAATTATTACGCATCATCCTGACAAAAATAATTTCATAGATATACGTTTTAGATTCTTTGATTTGGAGATTACTAAGAGTCTAAAACCAAGAAGTCTAGGAGTTCCCTAATTTTCTTAATTACTTTCACGTATACAAGCTCCCTTATTAACAATTCTACAGTATCTACAGTTTATTCTACAAATGTACAGTACAATTTTTTCTTTTGTTAAAAAAATAAAAAGATACAAACGTGGAAAACAGAAAAGAAGTTGAGACTAAGAAATGAGCGAATGATATCTTAAGATAATAAGAATTGAAAATAAGAAAACGCAGTTGAACGAACAATCGTTTACCTTTAAGGTAGGTTTCCAGTTCAGCTGCATTCTGCGCGGCGTTCGCAGTCCTCACCATGTGCAAGAGAGCCTGCGTCGACGACATATCGAGCATAGGCGGAAACACCGGGTTGCCGAAGAGACTGTCTTGCTTCTGTTCCTTCGGGTCTTTGCTAGAAAGAGGTGAGGTGGTTGGTACAGTCGATGGTTGAGGTGCACCCAGAGGCGCCATCAAACCGACGAAGGGCGTCGCGGCCGTTTTAAACGCCGGAAACCTTGGATCTAAACCGGGAGGGTAGCCGTTCCTAGGTGAACTGAAGTAACTGCAATTTCGAATAACGTCTTCTGCTTAGATTCGTCGACAACCTATTTTTCTTTTTTTTTTAAACTTCATTTACTCCTCACAGGCAATTATATTGCATATTTTCCAGTGACCAATTTCATAGGGAGTGTAAATGTGTTCATTAATTATAAATTTTTAAGGACAAATTTAATTTCCTGATAATATGCAGGGTGTCACATCTAAAGCAGGCTCTCTGGATGTGTTTTCCAATTCTGATTACACAAAAAAATATTTTACATGCAATTTGAATGTTGCATGTAATGAACGAAATATCAACTTTAAGTTTCAAAGACATACACCTCTGTCCATAAATATATGGACACTTATCACTTTTAATGAATAACTAATACATATACAGTCAGTGTAAGAAGTATTCGTACAGGAATCGTTTATGTTAAATGGGTTGCTGTACGAATGTATGTCATCAATTGTCACTGTACAATTTTTTGTTACTAAATTCTGTTTCAGATAATTAATTCAGGTAATTTATTACATTCAATAATATTAAAGTGTCGAGTGGTGTATTTTTCATAGAGAAATTATGAGATCGTTTAGACAGAAAAGGTCCTAAACAGCTCAATCTGTTGATATATATAAATTGATAGAACATTGAATTTGGTATTAGTAACATAATTTTATCTGGCTATAATTCTAAATGTAATATTGTATTGTGAGTAAAGAATGCAAATTTCGCACTTTTTTAACATCCTCCTTCGCGACGTCCGGCTTCAGAATTTTATTATTTTCGTTCGATCAAGAATATATTAACTAATAACATCTAAATCAAGAAAACATTTCCCAAACTCCTAATTCAACAAACATTGCTATACTGTTTATTCCTCAGCACTCGCTCCCGCGAATGCAATCAAAATCGTCAACGAGTGCCCCCACGACGAATCGCCGACTTTTCCCAGCGTTCTGCATCATGGTAAGTCCCCAGTCATGGTTACACGCGGAGGAACGGGGGGTATATATTTATTCAACGAATTGGAACGAGGTACTTTCTCCTCGAAATGCCACAGACCGCAAGCATCCTAGAGGGCTTCCAGCGTGCTCGTCAAGCGGATCTATGCGATACTTGAATGATCGAGTGAGCACCTTCAGCTCGACCCGTTCCAAGCCTAGTGCCGGAAGGTGCATAATTGAAAGTCGACGAATCGGCAACCGGTTCCGCGACAATATTACGCGGGACACGCCGACCGTTCCGTCGGACATCGATATTTCAAGACATGTAACAAGACGATCAATATTTTCTCTCAGCTGCTTTGTGTTTCCCCCGTCCTCTCTCTCTCTCTCTCTGGAGACTGCGGAGGACCGCCTCTTACGCGTCTCTATGTTCCCACGTATGCACACGGAACAGGGAGATCGCGCGGAATAATGTCAAGGCAAGCGTCATGACTTCCAAGGTCTTGCACTCTTCACTTTAAATAATTCTAGACGGCGACAGACGCGCGTGCTGCACTTAGATCTTTAATTGCGCTTGCGAAAGGAAGTGTCGCGGATTCTTCGGCTCTCTGAAAATCCACTGCGGGATTCTTTGTTGACTTCGCGGTCTTAAACACTCAGGAGTTTCAGTGGATGAACAGCATGGCTGGGTTCTCAATGGAGAGAGATAATCAGATGATTGAAATTTTTGTATCGAGGATGCAAATTGACAAGTGGTTGCGTCAAGCTTTTATGAAATCTGCAGATTTGTGGAGTGAGAAACCTGTGGCACGCTACGGCACACTATAGCATACTTGTTAAATACAGTGGGACTTCGATTAACCGGCACCATTGGGACCGAAACAGGATAATCGAGAGTTGGGGAAGACAAATTGAAAATCTAATTTATACCATATGTGTAATACTACTATTTGGCTAATCGTCCTATACTGCCTCTAAGAGGCACCCGTTCCTACGTTATGGTGTGGGAATATATTTCCCTCTCTTTCTAAGCGTGTTCCGAATGATATGCGGATGCGTCAAATTGACCATCTCAGCGAATAGGAAAGTGAAATTCAAATAAATGATAATCGTCTTTTTGTTTTGAAGCAGTAAGAGGTTATAATTGCTAAAAGTGTGAGCTATAACTCACTGGACTGTTGGAATACTCCTCTAAAATGATATTACTGGACACGATACTGGAATACTCCTCCAGAACGATCTCAGAAGTTTCTGCGAGTGTTGACTATAACTCGAACCATGGAAGCATCAGAACGTTCATTTCCAACAGAAAGAAGGGAGAAAACTCACTCGTTAGGGTTGGCGTTATTGTACTTGGCAGCAAGCCTTCTCATGAAATCGCTACAGTTTTGTTCCATCATCTGCTCCATGTGCTTGAGGTGGTAGGGTGGTGGTGGGCCCTCAGGTCCACCCAAAGGGGTAGCATTTGGCGGCGTTCCTGGATGGCTAGACGACGACGGCGTCACGCTTCTCGAAGACGTTGAATTATTGTCTGGCGTGAGACGCTCTGTTTTGACCTGAAACAAAAAAAAAAAGGATACCTCATGAACCGTTTGCGATCGTATCAAATTTAAACATGGGTGTCTTACTGATCGAAATTAATTTCCAAAGAACGAGCAGTGATACATAATAAATCTTGTTTACCCTTCATAATCTTGATAATATTGGTACGCCTTCGCTTTTCTAATGTCAACAAAAACCTAAATTAAGTAATATTCCCCGCACCGTTAGAATTATCACAAAAAATAAAAAAATGAATCAACCAAGAAAAGATTCATTTTGAATTACACGTGATATTTGAATCGTTGTTCTGCAAATGCAAATTTCCAAGACTAAAATAAAAAACAAAAACAAAAAATATACATATAAAATTGAGTAACCTCCTGTTTGAAGTCGGTTAAAAAACGGTAAGAATCGCTCACGATTCCGATAGTATCAAGGTCAACGCGGAATCAAGCACCCTAGCGGCTCGCGTCCTTGGTCATTGAAAACGTCATTGCGAACCCGTTCGTTTTCACTTGGGGAAGCATCCAACCTAACAGGAAGTATCCCCGTGCATTAATTCCCGGGAACAGATTGCATCTAAGATATGGTAATGAAGGCAACGCGTGGCGTAAGAGTTGACTCCTCTTCGGTTGCGAGAAACGCGGCGTGACACTAAGAAGAACGAGACTCGATTGGCGTAGAATAGGGTCCCTGAGGAGTCCGAGGAGCCGCTCGGAGAGGCCACGGTAAATCTCTTTCTCGCCTCGAGACCTCTTCCTGACAAGGGGCCGCTCCGGGTCTCGCGACGTAGACACGATCCCCGTGTATACGTTTCAAATGGCTCTGCTCTTCGTCTATTGCCAGCTTCTTGCGAAAGAGAACACCGAAGAGTCCCTGCGTCCTTTTCAGCGTCTATTCGAGACCGGAGATATCGTTACTACGGCTTTCTTCGCGGTTTTCTTGCATCAATCTTCCACGCTGGAACACTTTCCGACGCAGAACCGCCGTTGAAAAAGTGCAGCAAATTTGCCTGATCAAGTTCCTTAATAAGATGTATGTACAAGGCCACTCCAGTAATGTCAGCAAATTCATTTTCTTTTTGTTAATGTGTTGTCGTGAAGCTTTAAGAATAAGAACAATAATATTTCATAACCTCTCGAAGAGACTGAGAATTTTAGACAAAATTAATTTAATAGAAAATAGCGTACATTTGAAGTTACAGTTCAATTTTCACTATAAAATTAACTGATCAGATAGAGAATAAAAAGAAAAGTATATGAGAAAATAAAAAATCCTTCGATCAGGGTTGGTCTAATACATTTTCTAAATCTACCTTTTGGTCTTTTATGATGAAATGAATTAACCTTTTTGTAAAACAAACATTTTCTTATATTGCTTTAAGAAGCACTTTGTAATATATTTAAATTTCATTACTAAAAATTATTATTTCATACCTTAAAAACACACACACAAGAAACTGTCCGTTTTCATTTTTCTGCGACTAACCCCTTAATATCAAATATAACACATCCCACTATATTTCCGAGTATCAATGAATCGAAACAAATGCTCACAAATATCAGTATACCTGTACCAGTAACAAACGAATCAAGAACCCTGCGACTCGACCTGCTCGACCTACTAAATTCCTTCGTGTCTAGTCTCTCTCCTCGTCGTTGTCTCCGCGCGGAGATCTTCATTCGACTCACGGCGAAAGATAGTAGCCAGCAAGAATTTCCATGTGTCATTCGTCGGTCGTTCTTTCTGAACGATGACCATCGATATTTCCCGGCCACCGAACCGTCGCTTCTTTTTTTTTTTTTTTTTTTTTCGTTTACAGAAGCGTCGAACGGCTCGCACGGATGTCAGCGACGAGATGACAGTGCAGCTTCGGTTGACATCGCTGTCATAGAGCACTGGTCAGGACAGGTTCGAACGAAGGCCCCTCGTGAGCACGAGTACACGGCTACCGCTTCGACCGACGACCTCTGCTGCGAGAAATCCTCCTGCTCACCACACGTGCCGATCAAACACTCCACGCGAACCTTTCGGTTATTTGTCGGAAGGCAAATAGCGAGAGGACCGCTGTACGTACTTGCTTTTTGGACCTTGCGCAAGGATTCGAGTTCTTGGTTGCCATGGTGGACAGCAGATTCGTTCGGGGACTGCTTGGCGATAGCTTTGAGACTCCTTTTCGGGGTTATATATAACCGCTTATAAGGATTTTATAAGGAAAATCGTTTTTCATAGATTTCAGCAGTACTTTGATATTATTTTTATGGCCATGACTGTGTTATTTTGTAGGCTTGTGTGTGAATCTTCATGTGACATGTGAATATTAATCCTTTAACACTTTCGGATCTCCGTGCTTTATATTTTTCGTTTAGACTCCTACACTATTTACTGAACTTACTTGAGTAGTGTTGAGACCATTCTGATTCTGCCGCCTCCGACTCCTAGGTGGCCTAGGGGTAGTTGCACCAGAGAGGTGGGCACCTTGGGGGCTTCCGCCCCTAGCGTCGACCGCTGTGTTGGCGGCCAGGGTGGCCCCGTCGTTGTTTTCCGTGTGTGTGTCTAAGTCAGTCGCCTCTTCGCGATCGCCTCCACGTGGTCCAGAACCCGCGGACACGTTTTCACCTGACACCTCACCTAAAACACAACGATTTCACCACGTTAATTATATTTACATCTCGTTATATTAACGTACGATAAAAATCGGGGAAATTGAAAAGTTCATTCATTCGTATATTCGCTGCAAATTTTCTCGACATCACCTAATCATTCTATACAATTTATACAAATTGTCATTGTTAGTTGATCTCAAAGTATTCATTAACATTCGCGACCGCTAACGTGAATTCACGTTACTTCAAATTCTATTCCTGGTTATGAATGATTAATTTTTTGACTCGGAAAATAGCAAACCCACCCTCCAGTCACAGTTTGTAAAATTTTGTAAAAATTAACAGAGATAGAAACAGAAGTTGAATAGAAAACAAGTTTGGTTCTTAACGGATAACCAGGTTGCACTAAACATAAATGGTATCGATTTGTACGCCAGAAAAAAGATTAATTTTATGATTTGGAAAATAGCAAATCCACCCTCAAGTCGGTCTGTAAAATGCATCAAACTATTCTCGCATACAATGTGTTAAGATGCTTAACCAGATTAGCAGAATGTATCACGGCAACATCAAAGAGTATATTCCAGAAGAATTCTTCCTCCTATACGCCCCCAAAAAAAGATCCAATAAATTTATGCCCACTTCTGCCTATCTCTCGATTACCGAATCCAGCCAACTTCGTCGCTTAAAAGTCACGGTTTCCCGCGTCCTTGCGTCACCGCTAGATCCCCCGGCTCGTATTTTGGCGCTGGCGTCGTACCGATAAATCCGCGCTGAATCGCACGGCCAGGCTCGTACGTTTTCCTCGCAACGTCGGGAGCCCCATGCCGCCTCCTAACACCGGTTTCGTAACGAGGCGGTAGCCGAGGGTACGTCGTAAAGCTTCCTTAACGTCGGCCCGTGTAAACGGTGTCTTTCGACACCAGGAATTTCGATGAAATACGTTAAGAGGGATAACCGTAGGACGCGATTACACGGTGGCTGAGAGCGGCGCTAGACGGTGAGGAGATTTACGCTCAATAAATGAACCCGTCCTGCCACCATTATCTACATGCTCGATCAGAGAGACGCGTATCTGCCGCGCGTGAGAAGTACAGAAGCATCGGGCACGAATGGAAAGGGCGACGGGGGAGGGATGATCTTTGGAAGGGTTAGAAAAAAGGGGGCGAAAGACGGGACGAAAGGATCACGTGGAAGTGGAAAAAGGAACGAAAGGATGGGGAGAGGTCAGTGGCCACATTAGCTACCAAAAATATCCAATAAATTCTTGCCATCGTTAAATGGCCGGCGTTTTATGGCGGCTGTAACTCGCGCACATGGCCGAATTTGTTGGAGGATAGGATCGAGCCGAGGTTGAGGATGGTTGCATGCGATGCTCTCGTGATTTCGCCATCGATGCGAGCGTGTACTGGTAGCTTTATGGGTCCACGGATGCGAATTTGCTCCGAGCGTTGGCTTATTTGCGACTAGGATGGTTACTTGGATGCTGGATGGTTAGAGAGTGGAACTCTGAGACAGGCGTGTTGAAGTCGTTCTGGCTAGGATCCAATTTTGCTACTGTAAATGCACTTTTATTATAGGGCAGTCGAAAATGTTTGAAATGACGTTGTTTAGTTATACGGTAAAGTCTCCATAATTGCACAAACTCGGGACTGGCCCTGTGCGTTTATCGTAGAGTTCGTATATTCTCTGATGTTTGTCGACGAGCTTTGAACGTAGGGAAGTATAACGAATAAAAAAGAAGCCGGAGCGAAAACACCAGGGTATGTCGGTGAGACAATTTAATGCAACAGTGAAACTCTTTTATTATTAACTTTTTTGTTGTAAAACTTTTAACATCATATTCCTGTACACCTATACCTGTACATATACCTATAAAAAGGCTACGTTATACAAAAAGCTATTCCCTGAATATTTTTGGACACAACATTACAAACACGAAAATATCTAAGGTTATTAAATGTTACTTTCAAACTCGAATGAAAAGTACTATAATACGAAATCAGGTTCATTAGTGGTTTCATCTACGATGACGATTTTTCAATAAAATCATTTATCACTTTCCATGACTCTCAAACATACTGTTTCTGTTTGTCACGTAAACGCTGATCCTGAAAATAAATACTAAAACTCATTAAGTAAAATAATCAACAGCAGAGAGATAAACTACTTAATTTCTCGATAAGGGACTCACAGATAATCCAGACCAGTCTTTAATCAGAATTTATGGTTATTACTGAACAAGGAAATTGTAATGTGGACACTATAATTCCATTCAATCTGCATGCATACTTTCTACAGTGTACCATACACCTATACCACGAGGCAATTTTCTAATTTCAATCTGTTAGTATTTTACTTGTGTTAGAATATGAAATCGATAGATAAATTGCATTGTCGTTAACGACGCATCCAGAAAGGTTTAAAAATACAAACTAATTTGTTTTCATAGCCCCTGTCGGCACGGATAATGGAATTCCGAAATTGGTTTAGTTTCACTACGATTACAAACAAAAAATAAGCAAGAACATGGATCGTAAAAGCCATTCCTGCGACAGTCATTGTCCAATGTCTTCATCGCGCCAACGTGGAATATTTACAGCTTCCCATGAAAATTCTATTAGATAGTATCTTCTAACAGGAAACCGACTCTCATTTTTCTTGATACATCCATCTCCTGCGGCGGGCGCCGCGGACGTTTATTGTCTCGGCCTTCCAAACACTTAAGAAAATGAATTCCTCGTACGTTTTATGGGCCTTTGTCAGTTTCCCTATTACCAATCGCCAACTATGGATATAGAAAATCTCTGGATCGATTTACTGCTTCGTGTGCCCACTTCTTAATTATTCGTTCACAAAAGAATAATATTAGGCGCGGAAAAAAGTGAGCTGAGGATTTCACACAATCGTAACTGTTATTAAATATTATTTTGCGGTCGTGCAGCGTCGACATTCGGTTTTTAATATTAATCCTACCACGACTGATCAAGTTTTCGAACTGGACAGTTCTCGAACTTTTGTATATAATTCATATATGGTATATACAAAATAAAATTGGTTTTTAACGGACAACAACACGCACAAAATTTAAATGATACCAATGTAGCTCCATAGTAGCCAATTCTTAGTACGAATCTTGTTAAACATGTTTTTGTCGGCTGAAAATTGGTCGATTTAAATAACAAGCAAAAGTAATAAAATCACATATTTTTACCATTTTCCAATTTGTTCAAGAACAATGAAAAACAAATATTAAATAGAAAAATAATTTTCTACATAAAAGCCTTATAAGCGGTGAAAAATGGAAATGTTTCGTAGATTGATATCTTTTAGTTTGTTATTAAATAATGATTGAATTTTGTACATTAAAGATTGGAATCTTTTTGCGTACGTAATATATCTATATGGGTATTCAGACGAGTAAGAGACTACTCAGTAATCATGACTCACTATTAATGAGATAATAAGTAGGTTTCGGATGTTTACGAATTTATGGTATATTGTTTTCAATTCAAAGTGCAACTTTGCTTATGGTAGATTGCAAAGATAAGTGGTTGTTTAGATTTTCATTAGAATTAATTAATTACTCTTATACCTTCGAGAATCTATGTATATCTATACACCTTCTGCAAACCAATTTTACTAAATTGTTGCACGTATAATTCCTAATCTTGAAACTCTTCAAACTAATAAATTAATTATGCAATTTGCATTGGAAAAATCGCAGGGAGGCTACGAAGCCGCAGTAAACATTGGTGAGAATGAAAAGTGCGGAGGCAGACCGAAGCGTTCTTAATTAAAACTTTCTAGCGCGTTTCGAGCCGACATTTGATTTACGGCTGTCGTAAGGAAAGCTCGTAAAATAATATCTGACCGTTTCCATCGCATTCCTGCACGTTTCCTCGAGGAGATACATCTCAACCGCAACTTTTACGAGCGCGGTAGCGCGGCCAAGTCACGTACGACAAATATCATAACTCGAATTCCGGAACTCCCGAAGCGCCGAACTATTGTTTGCAGATCGTTTCTTGCGCTCTTCCTAGTTATTTGCGGACAGGTGAAAAATTGGCCGCGGTTATGGCTGTCGAAGCCAGCGGGAATACGAGCCGGCACGTGAATTGTTTCTAAATCGCCAGCTGTTTGTCTTCAAACATTCGAAGACGTTGCTCCTACGTACGAGGAATATCGTTGCTCGCGAATGGCGTCGGTAATGTCTAAATGAAGAACGACGAGTATGATTAATTGCTGAAATTTTCTAGTTGTACGTGCGGAGGTGTCTCATTAGGCGAGACGACTACACTTTCGTTTGGATCGTTCGATGATTTATGGAATTAAGAAAGACGAATTCCACGACAGGGTCCGAAATGACTAGGACTTGGAAATATGGTTTGCAAAATGAATGATCTCTGCTTCGAACGGTTAAGTTTTCGTGACAGGTGAGTTAAACTTCGAGGTGCGACGACATGTTATTGTTAGAGCTCGTATTAACAACTCGTTACGATATTTCACACTCGGACTACGGATTGTTTCTAACACCAGCTAAGAACTGTGTGCTAGGTATTCTAATGATCAATGTTTGAACTCTATTTCAACTTCTAACCACTCCTCCGTCCATTATACACCGAGACGTTCCAATGCAATGTTCCTATTTGCAATGTTTTGATTCTTTTATTTCTATGCTTCGCCGTGCCAAACAAATATTACAGTACATAAAATTATTTCTTCAAGTTCCTAAAGAATTTTTATTTTATTATTTAGGTATTTAGTACAATTTAACATAATTTAAGATCAAAAATTGCTATATTTTCTCAATTTTGTTTCCAATAAATCAAATAATTCGTATTAACTTCTCTGCACATTTTGAACTGTGTTGCCAATCTTGTCAAAATCTCAAGATTTTTCTTGCTTCTTAAGATATTTAAAAAACAATACTCCAAAATGGCAAGAAGAAAGTTATCAAAAAATACTGCCATAAACAAATCACATTAAAACACGTTATTGTGTAAACATATATCTAAAGTTCAC